TCCCGGCCACCGCAGCCTCGACCTGCTGGGCTCCAGCGATCCTTCCGCCTCAGCGTTCCGAGTAGCCGTAATTACAGGTAGCGAATGTTACCATGCCCGGCTGATTTTTTTGATTTATTGTAGAGATGAGAGCTTACCAAGTTGCCCAGGCGGGTCTCGAACCTGCAGGCTCAGGCAATCCACTCACCTCAGCCTCCCAAAGCGCAGGATTACAGACTGAGCCACCAAGTCTGGTTGCTATGTTTTCTTCAAAATATGTTTGAATATTTGACTAAATATGTTACATATCATATTAACTTAAAAATTCTTTTTCTCTCAATTATATATTTCAATAAATATTTAAGTAATATATATATTCCTTCAGTTTATTCATTGTAAATAATGTAGTTTTTATTTATAATTATGCCACATTTTTTTGTTTAGATTCCAAATGTTTACCTTTATAAAGATATTACAGATGCATAATGTTGTTCATATATCTTTGTAAACATATGAAAGATTTCCTTTACTATAAATACATGTTAAAATTTATTAACACTTTTTTCAATATAGCTCTTCATTCCTCCTTGAGAAGTGCATGAGATTTTCCTTGAAAAGACAAAATATCTCATTCATTTCAGACATTGTAAATTTGTTTTCTGATCACTTATTTTTCCACTTCTTTGAGGGTTTTCCTGTTTTTCTTCTAAAATATTAACCTTATAATTAGTTATGCTTAGTGAACAGTTTTCTCCAGGCTTCTACTCAGATATAAATAATAGATTCTTTCCTCAAACACATGCCAGAGGAAACCTGTTAGGCGCTACCCAAGTACAGATCAAAATATGAAAGGTTGCTCTGGTTTATTGCATTTTTTACTTTAATTCTTTACCACTCTACCTCCTGGCCAGAACTTTATCATGGACAGAAAGTTATTTTTTGTCCCACACTGTCAGGTTTGTCCATGATTTTTTTGAGGGACAGGCATCTGGAAGGGGGTTATCTTAGACCCTAGGGCTTAAGAGACTGCATGTTTCTGCTTGTGCTCTGGAGCCTCTCACTCCTTGAGAAGAAAATGCTGGTCCAACAAGTTTGAGAGATATTAGGAGCAGAACCATTACAACCGATGCACAGACCTATAAAAAACCACCCATGACTTGGCTGTATTGCAGAGAAATATAGATTAATCCAATCATTATGTGCCAAATTTCAGGAGATCACAGATATAAAAGAATAATAAATGGTTGTTATTTTTTCAACCATTGAGTTTTCAGTTTTTTTTCCTAAGTAACAAGAGCAAACCAATACAGTATATGAGTAAATTGGAAAAGTTTGTATTTCCTATAGACACAGAACATTATAGCTATGGAACTTAGATCTCTAAATTCATGGTAGTTTATCTTACCAACAGAAGCAAAATCTTTCCTGTGTCTTAAAAAATCTTGTTCTTCTCTTTACATAAAACCTTTCTCTAATTTTAGCTAGAAGGGTTGACTTATAAACTGATGTCTGTTTTCTGTGGTCTATCCCCCAACATTTCTAGTTGATTTTAGTCCATACAAATAGTTATATTTCATCACTGCTGATGAGAAAAGAAAACATTCTGGAAGTAGATAGTCTATACCCTAAAAGTGACATAACCCCACTGATCTGTATTGTCACAAAGTTGGGAATTACACATGAGACTGAAACTAAGATAGCCAGACCAAGATAAAATAAATATGACTCAAACTGATTTATTGATGTGGGTGGAGAGAGAGGATTTAATGTGTTGCTATGAACATCTGAGCATTGTGTTAGTTAGGCTGGCTGTTCAAAGACAGGACTTAATTTCAGTTTAAGCTAATGAAGTATAAAGTTCAAAGTTTTCTTGGTATATATTACAGGGAAGAGTTCATAAACTTCTTGTTTTGAAAATGTTAAAATGGACCCAGCTGGGGTCAGTGGCTCAGCCTGTAATCTCGCGCCTTTGGGAGGCTGAGGTGAGTGGATTGCCTGAGCCCACGGGTTTGAGACTCGCCTGGACAACTTGGCGAGACCTCATCTCCACAATAAATCAAAAACTAACAAATCAAAAACTAGTCGGGCGTGGTAGCGCGCGCCTGTAGTTCCAGCTACTTGGAAGGCTGAGGCGGAAGGATCGCTGGATCCCAGCAGGTTGAGGCTGCGGTGGCCGGTAGAGGCCACTGCACTCCAGTCTGGGGGACAGAGTGAGACTCCAACTCAAAAAAAAAAATAAATAAATGGACCCCTTATGTGTAAATTGTGAATTTATCCCTAACTTCTATTGCCAGAGAGTTTAGGAGGATCTTCCAATCTCCAAGGAAGAATTTCCATTCATTCGAGAGAGTCTTCCATTCACCACGAATTAGAAACAGAATTGATGAGGGGTGTTGGTGTGACTGATGAGTTCTGTGATTGTAGCTTTATATGGGCTGGAGATAACAATGATGAGTATTGCAGTGAAATTGGGTTTCTTAATATGAATTTTAATAATGAAATCTAAGAATGCATAAACTGTCTAATATGCTTGATAATAAAATGCAAAATGAGAAAATAAGCACATAAATTAGAGAGACAGAGTGGGCATCAATAGATTGGTTCACTGATTTGTATGGCTGTGGCTAATTGATGACAGGTTACTAGATATGAAACTATGTCACAGTGTACTATGGTGCTACTTTACATATATAGAATGAAATATATAGGCATATGTAAGACAGACACATTATTCAATTTGACTTTGTGGAGATTCCCTTCCTCTCACACATTTTCTAGAGCTAAGTTGTGTCACAGCCTCAGTTTCTCAACTGACGGTTCAGATATGCCCCTTTGAAGAGGAATCTTTAATACAAGCATAGATGTTCCACCTCTCTACCTGAAGCCTTCTTCAGAGGAGTGTAAGGCCATTTACCAGCATGACCATTCACTGATGAAAGAGACATTCACACCTTTTAGGATCTATTAGATACTGGTTCTGAAATTATGCTTGTCTCGGAAATACCACTGCTTCACTCCTAGGGGAACACAATTATTGATATCAGGTAGAATGAGACCACATATCTCCCCCCCACTCTCCGCCACAATCCTTGAATGCATAGTGTAGTTGATATACTTAGCAATAGACAGAATTTTTCACTTTGTAATGAGAGCTACTATGGAGGAAATTCCAATTGGAAGATTTTGTCATGCCTCTTCAGATTCATCAAGATTTCAAACTGCAAGCAATGTTGCATTTCTGTGAGAATCCTAGTAATTATTGTCCCCTTGAAAGGATTGAGAGTTGCAGGAGTAAAGGTTCCATATATACCCAGTTACCTCACAAGACTGGACAGTTCAAAAGCTAGTAAGGTCATAGAAAATAAGAGAAGCCTTTCAAGATTGTTGGAAACCTAAGAGGATTTGATACACCATTTGACAATTCTAGATGTTGGATGTCTATCAACATAGATAAACAGAGCTCCTGGTTCCTGAGTCCAGCTGTGATATAGAAAATGATTTCTTTTGTATTCTAATCAGTGACTCTTCAGTTGAATTTGTCTAAATGTTTTTTAAAGATATGCTTAAAAACCCAAATAAATAGGTATCTTTTTTTTTTCAAATTTACTTACGCATTCAATAATATTCAATTCAAATTTTACCTTGTCTTATTTTGCTTGTTTGGATATAAATTTACATAGGATATAAGTTGATTATAATACAATAAATTACTAAAAATAACTAAAGTTGCCTGAAGATTAAATAACCATACCAGTATTGAGATATCTCAAAAGCAAATCATTAAGATTTATGGCACTAATATGTGGACGTGTAACTGAACTAAAGCAACAGAATAGAATCAGAGGGACAGATATATTCAAATGTGAAAACTTGATCACCATTCAAGAAGATATTGCAGGTCAATGTGTAAAAGATGGACTATTTGATACATGTAGCATTTTATTTGTATGAAAAATGATCTCAGATGACTACCTCATACACACACACAAACACACACACACATTCACACACAAATATTTCAAATATATTGAAATTTAAATATACAGAACAGTATTTTAAATATCTTAAAAGGAAATTTAAGAAAAATCATTTTGCCCTAGTATAGGGAATACAATGCTAAATAAGATAAAAATACAAACCATACACAAATTGATGAGTTCAAACATATGAAATTAAGTTTTGATGCTCATTAAAAAGGAGGGCTGTCTATTTTAATCTGTAGATGATATATTCAATACACATGACTAACAAAAGTATTTGTCAGAGAGGAGAAAGGAAGAAACCAATACGTAGGCATATTCGGGTGGGTCCTGGTAAAAACTTTCCCTGCAAGCCCCTGGACTGGAATGAGCACACCCATTTTCAGATTAATGGAATGCCCCTTTCACACACTTCTTCTTGATTGGCCTTTTCAACCTTCTCCCAATTGGCGCATTCTAATTCCATACCATGATGCCTCGCTCTGATTGGTGCCACCACCAACCAATCAGCACACTCTCAAGACTGTATAAACCCCTGACTCCAGAGGCATTGTCCCCAACCCTCTTTTGGATCCCTTTCTGTTGCCAGGAGCTTTTCTGTCTTCTAATAAATTCCTGCTTATTCACTCTTCAGGGTCCATGTCCCTCATTCTTCCTGGACATGAGACAAGAACCCACAACTACTAAATTAGAAGAACTGCTGAACTAGAAAGCTGTGCATGTTAGACTGGAAGAGCTGGACCCACCAAGCTCAGAGAGCTTCAACACTCCTTGGGGGCCAGGCTTGGTTTTCTGACCCACCAAACCAACTGAGCTGTAACTTTCCTCAGGGGCTCACTGACTCCCAAACTAAGAGAACTGTAATGCTCCTTGGGAGCTCTGCAACTGTTGACAACCCTGAGCTCTTGGGTGCCACCATGTACGCGGCCACTGCATGGATATTGGACTGGCAGTGAAGCTTTGGGAACTGCAACATCCCTTGGTGGCCCAGCTCACCAACCAGTCAAACAAAGAACTGCATTATTAGTAATTAGAATACATAAAAGTGTGTGCCAATCAATAAGAAGGTACATTAATGAGTAGATGCCATGCTAGATCATTTTTAGAAAGGCAAATGTGTCTCAAAATGTATGAAAAATTGTTTAACTTCTTATTATCATGAGAATGCAGAGAAAAACCACAAAGAGATATATTTTGCACACAGTCAAAAATGAAAACTTCTGACAGTGCCAATAGAAATATTTATTTATTATTGCTGAATAAAAAATATTTTGTTTTTCAAAATAAAATTTTAAATATATAAAAACGATTTAATAAATGTAACAATGTCTACTCAGTGGTTTATCCATTCTCTTTATAGGTATATCACTTAGCAGCAGTCCCCAAACTTTTTTTTCCATTCTTCCACAAATGGGATAGGGGATGGGGGTGGGGAGAGGGGAATGATTTCAGGATTTAAGCACATTACATTTATTGTACACTTTATTTTTATTATTATAACATTGTAATATACAACTAAATAATTGCATAACTCACCATAATGCAGAATTGATGGGTGCTCTGAGCCTGTTTTCCTGAAACTAGATAGTCCTATCTGGGCGTGATGGGAGATAGTGCTAGGATCACCACCTCAGTTCTCCCTCAGATCATCAGTCATTAGATTCTTGTAAGAAGCGTGAAGCCAATGTCCCTCAAATGTGCAGCTCATAATAGGATTCACACTTCTGTGGGAATCTAATGTCACTGCTGATCTGACAGAAGACAGAGCTCAGGCAGTAATGCAAGTGATTGGGGAGCAGTTGTAAATACAGATGAATCTTCACTCTGCCCATCCCTCACCTCCTGCTGTGTGGCCCTCTTCATAACAAGCCATGGACTAGTACAGGTCCTTGGCCTGGGAGTTGGGGACCCCCGACGTAGAGTTACTAATACTTGTGTATTTTAAGAAATATTTGAAAATTTTAATATCATTGTTGCTATGACAAAAGAGGTAAATTACCCAAATATTTATAACCGGAAGAATGGCAAATAAATGTTGAACATATATTTAAGGTCTAATATTCTATAAAAATTAGAAATTAGCAACAGATACATGCATTAATAGGTAATACAGAAACATTACATTAAAATAATTTTTAGAATATTTTATACCATTTTATTTTACTGATATTGACATGCAAACTAAAGTCTGGTTTTTTTGGGTTCACAAGAAGGAAGTTAATATTGTAAATTCAAAGAAAGGCTGGTAAATGTAAATTCATGATATTGATATGACTGAGTGGGAGAAAGAAGAATTTACTTAGGACAAGCACAAATGTATCAGTAATCTTCAGTCATCTATGTTGCATAATAGACACATATGTATTCACTTTATTATTTGTTAAATTACATGTATAAAATAAGTGATTTAATAAATGTAGCCTCTAACCTGTTTCCCAGATCCACACAGGTTCCATTATTTTTGCAAGGTTCAGAAAAACATTCATGAATTTCCATTTCACATAGAGGTCCAGAAAACCCAGGTCTGCAAACACATTTTTTAAACAAAAGATATTAAGTCAATTAGTATAAATGTACAGAATCAAAACTTCAACTAATTGTAGCATGGAAAATTTTTAATAATCATAGACACTGTTTAATCAATTGAAATTCTAAACACACATATACCTAGATATATAAACATTCATCGAGACATTTTGGGAGTTTTCTCTACCTGAAATTGTTGATCCCTTCTTCACAGTCACCATATTTCTGGCAAGGAAGGAAGAAGCACTCATTCATGTCAATTTCACAGTGTTCACCTTCAGATTCTATAAAGAGAGATGAGATTGGCATGGATGAGCAATGCCTGCTATAGAGTGGAAAACAGAATCAGTGGTAAAGTGTAAAGAATATGTCATAACGTAGGTTAAAAAAAGGAAAAGAAAATAAACTCAAGTTTCTCATAAGCTCTGTTTCACATAATGTGTGCATAGAAACATGACAGCTCCTAAATTAATGAGTTTAAATGAAAGAATCAAGGGAGGAACATTCTACTAAATCCCTTGAGTAAGTGGAGTCACTGCTAATATTGCTGTTGTTTTAGGCATTTAAATGTTTGAACAAGAAGAGTTGAAATGATCTGGAAGGCAAATGAATTAATGTGATGACCAATCTTAAAGTAAAATTGAGCTTCATTGATCAAATTTATTCAAGGCAGCTAGCAGATGAGGCAAATTATTTAATTGCTTTCATGTCCAAGTGATTCAAAGAAAACAAATTATTTTGACTCATAGCTACATAATCAGTCATCCATTTAAACACATGCCAGTTATATTTAAAAAAGGAAAGTAAATCATACAGACTGATAAAAGAAGCAGTTGTAATAATTTCAATACTTTTGTGTCAGAAAACATCTTCGTGATATCGCTTTCTAAAATACAATGAAATATTTTAATATTCATAATAATCAAACAGTGAATTCCATGCTTACATACTAACTAGTCTAACAAAATATATACTTGTCGTCTTTTTTGTTAATACTTTTAGTACAAAAATGCAAGAAACAGGATTTTTCTTTCTCTTGCTTTAACAGTGATAAACTAAGCACCAAATAATTGCAATAACATTATAAATGTCAATGTTGAGTAAGGCTTATTTACCATGAGGAACAAAGGGTCGTTCATGAAGAAAACTGTATTCAGTGTTTGTATACACATAGACTAGAATTGGAACTGAGAAGCGCGTAAGTGGAGGGTGCTCTAGCTATCCAGGAATGGCTGTCTTCTTCTCATAGTAACTGTCCTTTTTTTGTTCTCAAATAGCTGCTTCTTCTCTGCCTATCACAAATATCTCTGCATGTTCAAAATGTCAAATCATTTTTAACACTGGCATGTGAATGGTGTAGCACAGCTTCCTCTGTCCCTATATCTATATGATCACATTCCAATGTGCATCATAGCATGGCACAAGTCATCGCCATTCTCTGTGGTGTCTACCATCAAATTAAATTCCAAATCTGCCTCCCATTGGAATTTAGAAAGAGGTTGGTATTACATCTTATACAATCGGACTATCTCTTTAGTAGTAGTATCTGATATAAAAAAACCTAAAACTTAATAAAAAACAGAAAGTGAAAAATAAACAAAGTACAAATACAACAAATAGAAAACAAACAGCAAGATGGATTACTTAAGGACTCAAATATCAGTAATTACATTAAATTTTTTATAAAAACACTACTTAAAAGGCAGAGGGATTAAATAACAGAAGCAATTACATGATACCTACAAGAAATTAATTAAAATGCAGTAACAAAGATAGGTTAAAATGCAAACAATGGAATAAAGATATTCTATGAAACTAATTATATGGAAGGCATAAGTGCTTATATAACTAGGAAACCAGGTAGTCTTCAGGACAAGTGATATTTTTAATTTGCCTTATATTTTATCGCGCAATTCTCAGGCCTACAAGTGAATCTCTGAGGTTACATTTCTGTAATTCATTCACATGCTAGATATTGCATCCTCAGCATTAAAAACAAAAATGAAATGATTTATTTCCCAGCTTACATGGCTCTCCCTATTTTAGGTGAGCAAGCTGTAATAACTTCAACAGATTTCATCATTCTAAAATCACCATTGTTGTTTTTATATATTTAAGTTGTAAATGTCATAGTACGGTTATGAACACCTTAGCTCCTATTTTTAAAAGATGTCCATTTCTTTAAATAATTGATTGCAGTTAGATTTTTTACAAGTTACAGATTTAGGAACTGAGTGTATTTCACTACTCCTACTCTTAGTGTGACTAGTTTTCTCTGGGAGGCAGACATTTTGACACTAAGATGTTTCTTAGAAATGTTCTTTTGAGGCACTAGAACTCAAGGACACCGACTGGGTAAAAAATGCGAGTGAGCCTTGATGATTTCAGTGGGCCTGATGCATCAGAACACTCAGGATCTGTGAGCTCGGACAGTTCACAGGATAACCTTGTTTCCCGTGATTTTGCCTTATTCATTAAGTTTGACATTTCTGAGATGGAGCTTTCTTACCAACTAGCAACACATGCTGAGGAAATGAGATTGTTGAAATGCAGTAGACATTGAGGGGGAAAAAAGGAAAGTAGATGTGAATTGCATTTAAAATAAACCAAGGCTTTGCTGAGAAACCTTGTTTTCGAGATTTTAAGAGAGTAAAATGTGTATTCAGTCATGTGCTATATAAAAACATTTCAGTCAGTGACAGATTGCATTTATAACAAAGGTTCCATAAAATTATAAAGGAGCTATTTAATGGAGTAGGCTATCCTATGTAAGTTTGTGTAAGTACACCCTATGTTCACACAACAACAAAATCACCTAATGACACATTTCTCAGAATGTATCCCCAACTTTAGGCAAGGAATAACTGTACAGTTGCCCCCAAACTACTGTTCTATTATAATTGGTGTTATAACTTGATATTCATTTATGTAAAGGGCACTTGTTTTGAATATATGCAGTTGTTGCTAAAACACTGCCCAAACTGAAAGCCCAGTGAATTTATTTTATGTTATTCCACTGTTATTTATTTCTATCCTGAACTATTCAACTGACTCTACTTTGTTAATTGCAGCAAGGTTATTTACATGTAAATGGTGAAGCATCCGCAATGGATGTTCTCTTGATCCTTTTCTTATTCTGTTTTATCTTTATATTGCTATGGCAAATACATGTGAATAGTTGTAATGGATATTATTTTTATACTCCCACACTCACTCGCCCAAAACATAAAAAATTAGTTTCTAAGTCTACTGCTCAAATCCAAGATCTAAAGCAATGTAAACTACAGATATCATTTTTCAAGTAATTTAATATTTTCTCATTCCTAACATATTCAGCCTTTTCGTACTTATTGTCTAGAAGATATTGTATGAAATAGAGTACATTAACAGAAACTTTTTAAGTGGCAGGACTAGACTTTAACAACTTCCACTCTAGAAGTGATATCATTTGAAATAATTCAAAATGAAAGTAACAGCCTGGTCACGGTGGCTCATGTCTGTAATCCCAGTACTTTGGGAGTCTGAGGGAAGATAATTGGTCAGAGCCTAGGAATTAGAGACCAGCCTGGGCAACATGGCGAGACTTTATCTCTACAATAAATAAATTTTTAAAATTAGCCCAGTCTGGTAGTACATGCCTGTAGTTCCAGCTACTTGGAAGGTTGAGGTGGAAGGATGGCCTGAGCCCAGCAGGTCAAGGCTGCAGTGGCCGTGAGCATGCCACTGCACTCCATTCTGGGCTACAGAGTGAGACTTCGACTCAACAAAAACAACAAAAAATCACATTTATGTATTTTGCGGGGAGCAGTGGCTCATGCATGTAATCCCAGCACCTTGGGAACCTGAGGGAAAAGGATTGGCCTGAGCCCAGGAGTTCGAGACCAGTCTGGGTAACTTGTTGAGACCTTGTCTCTACAATAAATAAACCAATTAGCCAGGTATAGTGGTGCACATCTGGGGTTCCAGCTGCTTGGAAGTCTGAGATGGAAGGATATCCTGAACCCAGAAGTTCAAGGCTTTGAGGGTCGTGAGCGTACTACTGCACTCCAGTGTCTCCAGTCTGGAAGACAGTGAGAATCCAATTTAAAAAAAAAAAAGAAATAATTTAAAATGAAAATAAACAGGAAAAAAAAAATCCCCCCAAACTAGTGTATTCCATAATATGTATTCAAAAAAGGTAATTGCAATCATATATTCTAAAACAAAAAACTAGAAATATTAAAAATAAATTATTTTCAAAAATATTAAATGCATTATTTCTGTTTCCTCTTAGTTAAGCTATCTAATTTCTCTGGATTTTAAAACTTTATAAAAACAGAATATAGCACCTCAGAATTCTCTTTTGGCAGTTAGAATTTTTTAAATTGTTGTTCTATTTCAAAACATTTTATACACATGGTAATATTTTCTGAAAGAAATAACTAACATTAGAAATAGCTACAGATTTAATTTTAAAAACCATGAAATACAAACATATCGAACTAATATTTTACATAGCCCTTAATACAGTTTTTAAGCATATATTTTTAAAGTGAACCTTTAACAAAAGAAATAGAAAAACTAATATTTTAACTGTAATAAATATTTAACATGTTTTAGCTTTAATTGTAAGTATTTTTCTCTAAAGAAATTTTCTAAATTTAAATTCCCACAGTTATTTTACACAATAGACATGAACTACTACATAGGCACTTGTTTGTAATTGTCAAAAGAAGTATTTTCTAATTTAGACAAACTATTTTGTCAATGACACATTTATTTGTGCTTGTAATTAGATACCTTAGGTAATGTGGCATTTCCATAATGATAGTATACATACTGGAGTAATAGACACATTTAAATGCAATTACTTGTCCCTTTTCATACGACAAATCCATCAAGCTTGGGATCCCAATTGTAAATCAGTGGCACATGTAAATGGTCTGATTATGTTTTCACTACAGTACTTTGCAAGGCATATTTGCCACATTTTAATCATGTCATTCAAAGAAACTGTTATTCCTTTCACCTTGGTGTCATGTGGATAAAGTAACTTATTTGAAAATTAAGCTCTTTACATTAAAGGAAAAGTATTTGATAGGGTGATATTCTGCCTATAAACATGTAATTCAAAGTGGAAAGAAAAGGAATCCTTTATAAAGAGAGCATTAGAAAACAAATATGTTTCAAGAACGAAATGATTTTATATCTCAACTGTGCACACACATGCTAATATGGTAATTCTACTCTGTGCTATAAACACACACTTTCACATGCATTTTATCCAAAGTCATCTTTGCCTCCTTAATTCCGATGTGTTTTTAATGTTCGATTTCTACCAGCTTGAACTGAACCCAGTTTATTCAACTTCTCCCACTTAATTAGCTCACTTCCTTCATGATATGTATTAGCAATTATTCTTTTGGCCATATACAACAGAAATAGAAACACTAACTGTCAAGAAATGGGATTTAGTGGTAGCCTAGTTGAGAAGAATGTCAGGCCATTAGAAGAACTGAAGAAAGAACTACTAGTATTGATATAAGAGCCATCTGGACTCCTTTTCCCAAATACTTCTCTCCTACTGCATACAGATAATTTCCAGGTATAAAGAACATGGTGACTGACTGCACCAATTGGCAGTAAACTCTGCCAAAACTGGCTGAAAGAGAAAGCCTCTTCTCTCAGAAGAAAAACTGAATGCCAATATGCCAGTCACATGCCTAGACTTGCATAAATCATGATTTCCATAGGGATTAGATTTACTGTAAGTTTTAGCCTGGGCTCTTCTAAAAGAAGAATCTGAGATAACAATTTGCTCACCAGTCATTTATTTTCAATACGACCCAGGAATTATTGCAAGGGAGTAGAAAATAACACAGAGAAGGGACTTGTTCAGTGAGTCCATTATTGTTGCGGGCAACTGAGGCTCCACATGCTGGAGACTCTTAGAAATCGTGTGGAACATAACTGAGAGTTGTCACACTTGACAAAAGAGCAGTGCATGTGCCTACAACTCCCCACTCCTTGTGTGCATCTCTACCAGAAATGTGAAAGCTCTTACTGCACTGCACTTTAATGGTTACTTAACTTGTGTGTCTCTCCTTTAAACTTTAAATTCCTTGAGGGCATGTCTTCAGCATGTTTAATTTCTCCAGACTTATCACAAGACTTGACACATCATAGGGGATCAATATATGTTTGTTGAATTAGTTAATAAAGAGCACAATTTTTAGATTTCTAGAACACTACCAACACACAGTGCCCAGATTGATGTGTATTGTGTAAGAGTACGATTTATAAAGGCAAAAAAAAAATGTTTACTATAAAATAAATTTTTAAGCATGTAACTTGGTTGCCCAATAAATAACCAAAACTAACTCTGTTGAAGTGTCAGAAATATACCTGCTTTTTTGATAGTAATTTCAAAAAAATTTCCCTTCTTGTGTGCTATTTTTCTATTTATTAAAGCACTAATTTTTTAATCACAGAAATTGCTCTGAACTAATAATTTATAAAATTAGCCTATATTAAATCATTATTGCCATATGCTACTTTGCCTACCTATTTTTCAGCAGAAAATGTTCAATAGAAGTCAGATTAACCTACCTCAGTTCTATAAGAAGACGAAAGCATTGCTCTTACTTTGTCTTACAAAACATGATCACAGTAGATATGGTCCTCTTCTATACCTATAGCTTTGAAGTAGCTCTCACTGCTCTAAAGAGGAGTAGATGCCTTTCTCTATAAGTTTTAGTCATGTTAATCAAAGTAGTTTACCTGTTGATCCTTCAGAGTAAATTGGAATGCCACTTATGATTTAGTTGTCTAACGTGTAGTCACATTATTACTCTGACTCTGGAATTTTATCTATACTCATTTTTATATAGTGAGGGGCCCTATAGACTGACTAAAAACTGTGAACAGAAATTCAGAAATACATGTACTGAACTTTCAGACCTTAAGTCTTCAACTTATTTTCTTGTGACCAGTTATATTCTAGTCAATTGACAAACACCAATAACTTGCAAAGAGAGGAGCTTTCATTTTCTAAGTCTGTAGAAGATGTTAAGTATCGAAATGCTTTGCAGTTTTAAATGTTGGTACTTGTTAAAATTGAATTTGATCTAATATTTTCATTAAAAAGGGGTATATTGGCTTTAAATAGACCCTATTTTAAATAAAAGCTATTAATGTGACCAGGGCTAAGGAATACTAAACCTCTTTTTAAATTTATGAGTAGTTTTTTAAAGCAATGTTACATCCTGTAGTTTTTGATCTGCTACAAGTATAGTAGCATTACTTACCTTAGTAATATTACTACTAAGGTAATATTAAATAAACATTTTTTTTTACAGAGGTTAGGACTGATTTATAGAAAGTTACTCCTACAATTACTCAGGTTTAGCAAGTTTAGCAATGAAAAGATATGTACATATATGCAATTAGTTACACTGCTGTGTGCTTCAAATATCTTTTGTACAAAATCACAATTAGAAAAAGATAAATACAGGAAGGAGTCCCAGGACCCACTTGCCACTCTATCCAAAGCACTGATTTGCTCTGTCATATTTTTCTGGAGGCCTTAAGTAAAATGACACAATTCTGAGGCGAAAAAATTAGTTATTTATAACAGTGAAATCTGCATTCTCTCTATGTCATCTTTATGGATGCTCACAGGGATAGCGAATATTATTACTAGTTTAGTATGTGATGAGAGGCTTTAATAATATTTCTGATATTATTTTCCCCTTACCCCACAACAGGAAGAAAAGCCATTAGATCATATATATTTATCAAATGCATGTATAAATAGGAAATAAATTAACAAAAATATTAAGATTTGGAAAAAACACCCAACCTGGTGGAAAATTATTTCTGATGAAAATAGAAGTTTATGTAAAGTGAATAAATATACTGTTGCCCTCTCAATAAATATCTAATACTTGTACTTTGAGAAAAGAATTAAGAACAATGCAATAAAATAATCCTACCGAAAAATTAGCTCTTCCACTAACGTTGAATAATTTTCAAAAAATCTTACCTTTGAACTTTGTTAAAAGAAAAATTATTTGTTTATTTGAATTATGTACTTCATAGTTACTGAGACTTTCTGAGCATCAAATACTCCCCTCATATTTTTGTTTTGTATCTTGCTGTTTCTGCCTTGTTCCTAAAAATATTCTTCTATATGCCCTATGAAATCGATGATGTCACCTTTGCAAAAACAGTTGATGGTTTTCTAGTTTCTAGTTCCAATCCCTAAGAAAGACCAGAAATTTCTGTCGTGTACACAGGTACAAGGATTTTCTTCAATATACTTAAAATAGATTACCTATATCTTAATGACATTAAAAGGGTTTATAAAAACAAGTAGAAATAACTTTAAAGTGATATGTAGCTAAATACTGTTGTCTAAACGGGCCATTTTGAACAGAAGAGTAAATGAGTATTGTGCTTATTTTTAAGGGACTCCTTAAGGGCAAGTGACAGGGAAGAAGACATGAATCCATAAGTGACTATTGGAAAATTGCAATAAAAGACTTCTAAACACAATGTGGTTTTTACATTGTGGTTATGAAATATTTCAGTTAAACCAAACACCTGCCATATGCTGATTTTATAAAAGAAGCATTTCTAATGAAGATGGTAATTGTTCTTGAATCACAAGGAGTACATGAACAGTGACAGTGGACCCAAACCACCTGTGCATTCATCAGGCTTCCTTCAATTACATCTGAAGATACCCCAATAAAGAAAATCTAATGATAATAGGTGAAGTCATTGGCTGATGTGACTCAGAGCCAGTGTGCCCTGGCTTCACATATGACTGGATTCAGGGGCTCCAACAAAATTTGCTGATCTCCCCATTCTCTCTTGCAAGGGCTCTCTCCTATGGAACAGAGCAGCTACTAGAGTCATATGACAGGAATTCCACAAGCTAAACAGAAACAAGTAATATTTCTGATAGCTACAGAAGAAAAGTTACAGTCAAGCATTTGATTATCCTAAATTGTACCCTTGCCTATCTTTTTAACTACCTGCTATTGTCAAAAACACTGCATGGACAAAGTTCTTCAGGAAGGAGAAAATGTGTTACCAAAGGAGGACTGACAAGTTCTGAAAGAAAAAACAAAACCAAACAAAAGGCCGGGCTTGGTACCTCAGCCTGTAATCCCAGCACTTTGGGAGGCCTAGGCGAGTGACTTGCCTGAGCCCGTGGGTTGGAGACCCACCCGGGCACCCCAGCGAGACCTCGTCTCTACAATAAATAAAAAAATAGCTAGGCGTGGTAGCGCGCACCTGTAGTTCTGGCTACTTGAAAGACTGAGGCAGATCGCTGGAGCCCAGCAGGTGGAGGATGCGGTGGCTGGGAGCATGCCACTGTACTCTAGACTGGGCGACAGAGTGAGACTCCAACTCAAAAAAAAACACACACACAAAAACCACCAAAACAATGCACAAAGATCTTTCACAGAAACAAAGAACTGAGTATCACATGTTCTCACTCATAAGTGGACCTTGAACAACTATCATAATACTATAAGAAAAGGATTGGCAGTGGGAAACTGGGGGCGGAGGGGGGGTGGGGTGAGAAGGGCTGGGAGGTGGTATTGGCGGTAGTGGGAATCTGCCTGGGGGAGAGGGGGCACACCTCATCAACAAGGGTACCTGCACAATGAATATTTATATAGCTAACTCTGAATAGTACCCTACAATTTTAAAATAAAAAATTTCAAGGTGAAAAAATACACAAAGCTTCACCATTTACTCTTCCGCTCCCTGTGCTATGCATGCTAATCCTGTAGGTGTATTTCTCCAATATGTTTTTAGACCTGAATCTGGAGTCAGATGCTTCTTCCCAAATGTACGTAGGGCTTTTTCTCAACCATTCTTAAGGAGCCATCAGTCCACAGGCATAACAAATAAATCAACTAATGAACTGATTTAAAACCAGTAAAACCCATGCAAGCTCTTACCTTCTCTACAAATACAATAATGACTTCCATCTACCCAGGTCAAGCATGTTGAGTTGTTTCTGCAAGGATTATTGAGTAGGTCACAGGGGTTACAGTGCTGATGGCAAAATTTTCCAGTGTAAAAGGGTGGGCACAGGCATACGAATTGCCCAGGGATGGTAGATTCATGACAAAGAGCTCCATTCATGCATGGATCTGAGTCACATTCATTTATTTCTTCGCTGCAGTTTTTTCCAGTCCATCCAGATGTGCATTCACAGCTGAAATAAAATTTTTAAAAATATGAACACTTTTTTCAAGTTTATTCTTTGCCCTTTCAATGTAATTGCTCCCTAGTACTAATAATAATGTGATGTTTCACAATTTATAACAGGATTAATAAATCATGCATAGTTTATAAATATTGTTTGCCTAATTTCCTGGGACAATTTAATGCATTTAACAAATTAACTGCAAAACTGACCGTATTGGGTGAAATAAGATTTAAGGAGTATTTGACAAATTTCTAACATAGTTAGGCCTCTGAGACATATCTGAGAACAACCTATTAAGTTTAATTACCAATTGAGCAAAATTATTTAATGCAAAATAAGTTTTATAGATGAGATCACAGTTTATAGGCCCAAAATGATATTTACTTCAATGTCCTTAGCAGTAGGTAATTCTTGTAATCAACAGAATGTTTAATAAGGTGATTCTTTGTGTTAGAAATCTGTTGTGGTTTCAGTTTTTATCTGCTGAATAATTTAAAATACACGTTTAAAAACTCCTCTTAAGCCGGGCTCGGTGGCTCAGCCTGTAATCCCGCGCCTTTGGGAGGCTGAGGTGACTGGATTGCCTGAGCCTGCGGGTTCGAGATCTGCCTGGGCAGGCGAGACCTCATCTCTACAATAAATAAAAAAATTAGCCGGGCGTGGTAGCGCGCGCCTGTAATTCTGGTTACTTGGAAGGCTGAGGCGGAAGGATCGCTGGAGCCCAGCAGGTCGAGGCTGCGGTGGCCGGGAGTGGCCACTGCACTCCAGTCTGGGCTACAGAGTGAGACTCCAACTCAAACAAACAAACAAACAAACAAAAAACTCCTATTAACATGTAAATAATATGAGAACATTGAGATAAAGCCAATAAGTAAAAATTAAAGTATTTGCATATTGTCATATATCACAGACTCTAGTTCAATGTCTCTTACTGTCTTTAAATACTACTGTAGTCAAACATCTTCCATCAGCCTAGACTCGTTCTGCTTCTAAAAGTAGGAGAATTCTAACAGAGCAAGGGAATGGATTTTACCCATATGGCATTATTCATATAAGGGAAATGAACAGGCTATAATAAAATCTTCAGATAGAAAGTAAATGCAAGGATAGACCATTAACTGGTTAATCACAAACTGAAGGTTGGTTCAAGGAGATAACCTGTGTCTGGCAAAGATTGAGCTCCAAATCTTGAATGACTATATCACTAAACAAGTTGTGAATCAGGAAACAAAGCACGGGAGATACTAACAGAATTATTTTCAAGAAATGTATTTATGGTTAGATTAGGTTTTTGCAATAACTTAAAAAAAGCACTATAGTGCTGAAATTATCTAACTTGTTTCATGATAAGTAATGTATTTCTTGGGGGTGAGGGAAGGAAGGTAGGAAAGAAGGAAGGAAGTTACCCATATTCAATGTCAAAGTCCCATAACTATCAAGGTCCTTCTATCGTTGTGACTATGAGAATATCAATATATTGAAGGAGTTAATTGAAAAAATTACTTGCACCCACACTTGAAATTGGACTCTAAGTAGATATACTAGCCATTGATATAAACATTAAAATGAACAGGTGACAAAGTCTCATTTTAGACATAATTGAATAATAAAGTGTTTACTAGTTCAATAAGATTAAATCCAATGTAAAAGCCACATATTTTACAGCTGTCTAATTTTTTAAAATTGGCAATGTACAGAAAGCAATTACTACTGTGCAGGTTGAACATTTCTTTATGAGGTATGTTTGCATGAGGTAACATTTACAATGGAAACAATTCATACCTTTGCAATGTAAAATATATTTATACCTAAGGGTATGTTATTTCCTTAACAATGAGTAAAAAGTTTTAATATTTTATTTTCCTTAGGAAAAAAAAGAAAGAATGAAAAAGGTCTACTTATTTTAGTGCCTCTCCATCCTAGTTTTCCTGAACAGTCCTGTTTCAGCCTGTTGCTCCAATATCATTAATTAATTAATTTATCTTTGAGTCAGGGTCTCTCACTCTGTTACCCAGGCTGGAAGCTGGAGTGCAATGACAGACTCACAGCTCACCGCAGTCCGAACCTCCTAGTTTCAGGCGATTCTCTTTCCTCAGCCTCCCGAGTAACTGGAACTACAGGTATGTGCATCATGCCTGATTAATTTTTATATTTTTTGTAGAGACTAGGTCTCAAACTCCTGGGCTTAAGCGACCCTCCCATCTTGGCCTCGAAAAACACTGGGATTACAGGCATGAACCTCCATGCCAGGCAATATCATTATTTATAGGGCACATTTTCACTTACAAAAGTGTCTAAGGTGCTATTATTTCCATGTTCTATTATCTCCTGTATACCATTACTGAAATTGAATATCTAAAACAAGATAAAACAACTAACTATACTCTCACTTATCTGCTAATTATGCACATGATTTCACCTTGCTCTAAAATTTGCTTACCACACACTTTGGGAACGCATTATATATATTATGTATATATATATATACATTATGTATATATATATATACTACCTTTTATTAAAGTATATATATAATGTATATATATATACTACCTTTTATTAAAGTCATTTGCATGGTTTGCCTCCACTATCAGACTTCTGATTCCTTGGTATGTAAGAATGATCTGAATTTCCATCTTATCCTGTGTATAATAAATGTTGACAATTTTGTAAGAAATGATTGACATAAGGAACTCAGTGTTGATCCCAGATAGACTTACTTGCATTCTTTAATTTAGAAAACTAAGGATCAGAGAGCTTGATGAAACTACTAATATCAGAGAATTGTAAAGATTAAATGATGTGATAATTAAGTGATGTTCACAGTGCCTGACATCTTCATTGCCTAGCCACCTATACTGGTTACGCAGTGATGTCACATTTTTTTTAATTGTTGTCTTAGCCTAAATATACTATATATCTCAACATTGAATATTTCTTTAACTTTTAGTAGTATTTTTCATGTTTGTCAAGTCACATCACATTTTAAAACCATCAAAGATATTATCTAATTTGACAATTTCAGCCAAGTTTTGAAATATACAGAAAAGGTATTCTTATTCTCACTTTTCAGGTCAGAAACCTGGAGTGCAAAGGATGTATACAAAGTCACATGGTGAGCAATCAGGACCTAGAACCCAGACCTCTTTCTCCCAGGTTACCGTTTTCCTGGTCTAGAACTTTTTCTTTTGCATGCTTAAAATCCATTATGATACTATTTTACATTTTCTGAAATAATGTTAAAATTATGTATTAATCAATCCTAATAAAATTACTTCTGTGAATTTGTTTCCTTTGAAATAGCATCACAGTAAATATAACCACTTAGTCATATCATGGAACTTAATTGACATATGATGGCTATTTTAAGAGGAGAAAATCTATAGAATTAATACTTTCTTAAATTATGGTCATTACTGTATCATGGCCATAGGTTCTGAGGGGATGGTACTAATATTTATGTTTTTCCCTTAATTATGTTCTCTTATGATTACATAATTTCAACCTCGCTAATTTAAAAGCACTTCCTGTGTATGATCAACAATAATTGAATATTTGGTACATGTGGTGAATGTTTGTTTTATCTTCTCGCATAACAGGTGTCCGAAGATTTCATGTGGTGTCATTACCAAGATCAAATCTTCAGGAATGCATGTGGCTATAAGTCAAGAAGACTGGTAATACGAAGGCTAAGTCTTATGGAGATCAATGGATGCTTTGTAGAAAATGCAGTTCCAAGGAACGAAGTCACAACTAGTAACTAGCAATCACATATACAGAATTTTTTTTTTTAATCAGCGAAGTCTATTAAATCTACTCAGAAGTCTTTCCTAAAGTCACAATCATTAGACCACACACATTTCTGCAAAAGGGGCTTTTTCTCTACAAATGAAAAGATCTTTATTTATATGTAGGGAATCCCAAGCTGTTCCCTGACAATGGTAGCCAGTGAAAATCTTATTTTGTTTTGTTTTTATTACTCGTTGTTACAATGGCAAAAATAAAAGATATTTTTATAGTTTTATTATTTTCTTTTTTCTAATTTATTTTTATTATGCAATTGTGGGGTACAAGTAAAGATTTATTATGTAAGTAGGTTGCATGCAGATAAAGTTTGGGCTTCTAGGTGACCCTCACTCTCCTGGCAGTGGACCAGGTACCCATTGTGTTGTCACATGTCCCCTTCCTGTTCTCCTCTTTCCCTCGCTCCCTCCCCTAGCAGTGTCCAGTGATTTCTGATTCCACCCTTGTGCTAATGTGACTAGTGTATGCAGCCATGCAGAAGAACAAAATCATCATCTTCACAGCAACTTGGATGCAATTGGAGACCATCATACTAAGTGAACAATCATGGAAACAAAGAACTGAATACCACATGTTCTCACATCTACAGGTTTCTATATCTAAATCTGCTTTTATACATGTCAGAGAAGCTGGCCTTTGATAGATAGGAAAAATGTATTTTAAGCGAGAGTTTCCATCTGATTTTAAAGTTTGCCATGAAATAATTTCAGGATTCATTGTGATCTGGCAGAATTTTTTAAATGTATAGCTAGAAGCAGAGTCTTTATGAATAAACAAAAACAAAAACAAGCAATACATGCAATGTATAATTTTTCAAGTGTATAATTTCCAGTAGTATAAACTTGAAAATAAATTAAGTGATTGCCTAAAGATAGACCAACACATTCTAATTTATTCTTCTTTAGTAAGAAAATCTAAATTTATTGATTTAAACTACACAGAATATCACTAAGATAATTTCAAATCTTAAATATTGTTTTAAACTACTGACGCTAATAAGAAAATGACAGATGTCATTGTTAAAAATAGAAACAAGAGTACTCATCAAATAAATTTATTAGCTTCAAAATTTTTAATAAATGTCAATTTCTACATACTATTTTACATGTTTACCTTACTATAAATTGATGTGAGATAATTAATATTGTTCAGTCATACATACCTATGTTTGATATGTATAATTGAACATATATATTTAAGTA